GCACGAAATGCGACGACGATGTAAGTGTCATTGCATTTTAATGCTTTTGTTAGCTTGTCCAGTTGAACCCACTAGATGCGGCGCTGCTACGTTGTTCATTCAAAATATTGCAGAAAAAGAGAACAATCAATGCGGGGAAGATGTTGTTTACGTCAAAACCGAAACCAAACCGTTCACACAGAACGCATATTTATCACATTTTCTAGAGGGACATCTATCACCGTTGCACTCGCGTCTCGCACAAAAGATTTAGAAAGCCATGGAAAATTAATGTTAGTTCAACTTTTTAAAAACATGTCTCAAGACTTTATGGAGAAAGTACTCTTTGTGATTGGTTTTCGGTCCTTTGTATTAAAATATACACACATGCATGATTCTGTTTTTTTTCTAATTGTTTAAGCAACTTTAATTATATAAGGTTTATAAACATTATTTTATACATGCACTTTTTTCAAAGATAGTCGTGTTATTTTATTATGCTTTGAAGAAACGTGCATAATATTTTGTTCGATGCGCCCTCTTGTGGCCTCAGGAGAGAAGCCAAAAGCTTTTTTCCCCCCTAACTGAAATTATACTTTTTAAATTCAAATATAATTCGAATATTGATAATATTTAAATACAAAATTCGAATTTAGTTTTTCAGCCATTTTGCCAGCCCTATGGCCCCAGGTGTATGCTGATACAAATGCTAATATTAGCTGATACTGATATTGCATTTACATTTTACATTCATGCATTTGCATTGCATTAAAAGGATACATTCTTTTAATGAGTTCATGCATTCTTAGATATGGTCACTGTTATATTGTGCATCCCTAACACTTACTGGTTTGTCATTAATATTGTCAATCTCTCTCTTTTTTTCTCTCAACAGCTGGAGCAATATGACGCGTTAGTTGACCGGCTAGTTTCTCTCTGTCCTTCTTTGTGCCGTTTGACGCTTGAGGTCAGAGGTCATGGCTGCGGATTGTGGCGTGTTCGTGGACTGGTCTCAGATGGGCGATGTGAGTCACGACGCGGCTCCCGGTAAGACCGAATATAAAGACTTAAAGGAGCTGAAGCAGCACGCCCGCTCAGGCCAGTGGGCCAAAAATCACAGCCAGCGCTCGGCCGTTTACCAGCAGCTGCTCAAAGCGCTCCCGTGTCGCACCGTCACGCCGGACGCCGCGGTCTACCGGGATATCGTAGGCAATTCCAATTCCAAGTGCAACCCATCCGCTTACCCATTGCCAGATTTTGTGGACGGGACGGCTGTGCCATGCTACTGTCTGAAGGCCGAGTCTGTGGGATCGGTGCATGCTGTCATTTCTTGCATCGCAGGGCAGTTCCCAGATATATCGCACTGCCCAACTTTACCAGCGGTGACGGCGCTGCTGCTGCACTGGAGCGCCGATGAAGCGCAGTGCTTCGAGAGCGTCAGTCGCATGCTGGCCTGCAATGAACCCGGGCGCCGTTTATTAGATCAGACTTTCCTCGCGTATCAGTCGGCCTGCATGACCTTCGGCGACCTCGTGCATAAATACTGCCCGGCCGCGCATAAGCTGATGGTCGCCACGGCGACAGACGTGCTGGAGGTTTACTCCGATTGGCAGCGATGGGTTCTGGGCGACCTGCCTTTTAGCTTCGCTGCGCGTGTGATGGACATCTACTTGGTGGAGGGGTATAAGGTCCTTTACCGCGTGGCGCTGGCGATACTGAAGTCCTACCGCAAGCAGCGCAGTGCCGCCGCAGACTCGGCCCTAACCAAGCAGGACTCAGCGGCGGTCAGGAGCGATATCCAGGCGTTCGTGCAGAACATCGGGAAAAGCGTGACGCCGGAAAAGCTGCTGGAAAAGGCCTTTTCCATCCGCCTGTTCAGCCGGAAAGAGATCACGCTGCTGCAGCTGGCCAATGAGAAATCACTCCAGCAGAAAGGCATCACCGTCAAACAGAAGAGGTATTGATGACCGTTACGTTACATGATTGACTCACTTTAGTACTGTACTGTTATTTATTTATTTAAATCAAATTTAATTCGTTTTTATTCAAATGTATTTATTTAGTTTTCATTAATTTATCTATTTTTTAGTTTTTTATTATGGAAGCCTTTTTCCGACACTGAATAAAAAATAAAAAAGATAATTGTGAATTTTTTTTAATCACAATTCTGACTTTTTTTCTCAGATTTGCATCATGTAAACTCACAATTGCAAGAAAAAAAAGTCAGAATTGCGAGATAAAAAGTTGCAATTAAATTTTTTTTTTTAATTCAGTGGCAGAAACGGGCTTCCGTATTTTATTATGCATTTAAATCAAATATAATTTATTTTTATGTTTTTATTCAAATGTTTTTTAGTTTTCATTATTTTATTTCTTTATTTGTTTATGTATTTAAATCCAATGTAATTTATTTTAATCAAAAAATTTTAAGTAACTTAAATAAGTCACTTTAATTTTATGTTTAAATATATATCACTCCAGCAACATTTCTATGAGTGTTTTCTATATTTCTCTATAATAAATAAATTGTTCTAAAGGCGTGTGAATATTTACAGTATGTGCTTGACATGAAATAGAAGTGATTTTAAACGTCTTCTGCTTGATTTAAAAACTGTATTTAAAAACTACACAAAAGTGGATTAAAAATGCAAAATATAACTTTTGTTATTAATATTTCTAAGACTCAGATGCGATGCTACTAGCTGAACTAAACATTACTGTTCAAAAGTTTTGTGTTGTACGATATATTTTTTTTAAAAGAAATGAGTTACTTTCATAAAAATATGAACACAGCTGTTTTCAACATTAATAATAATCAGAAATGTTTCTTGAGCAGCAAATCAGCATATTAGAATGATTTCTGAAGATCATGTGACACTGAAGACTGGAGTAATGATGCTGAAAATCCAGCTTTGATCACAGGAATAAATTACATTTTACAATATATTTGAATAGAAAATAGTTGTAATTATTTATTATATATAAATATATAGATTTTCCTGTATTTGAGCAAACAACTGCACGCTTGGTATTAATAAGAGACTTTCAAAAGATTATTTTTTTTTCATTTTGCCAACCCCAAACTTTTGAATGAGGTCATGAGACACAGTGTAGCATGCTACTGTTTGAAATGTTTATAGTAGGTAGTATACAGTACTGAAGGATACTAAATAGCAACCAATTACAAAGAAGTTATTATTTTTGAGGTATTTATGGCACTGTCTGTTCATCTTAAAAAGTTATGTCTATTTATATCTTTTGTGTTTGGCTTTGTTTTACAGCTTTCCTCTGATTTGCTTATGTGTTTTTTATTCCCTCATTTTGTTCACATTGTGTCAGTTTTTTTTCATTGGTTTTTCCATTTCTTCTGCTCTCCACTCTCTGTGCTGTCCTTTAGCTCTATCAAAAGGTGGGTATCTTCATCTCTTCATCATCATCCTTCTCGCTTATTTTCATTTTTCTGACCCACTTATTTCTGTTGTGTTAGTTTTCTGATGCACAGTGAAATATGCATATTGTTTGCATGTTCTCCTTTATCTCTCTAGACAAAATGTCCAGTTAGCTGTGAACGCTGATAATTTCAGCTCGGAGATTGTCAGCGCTAAAGAGATCAGAGATATTTGGTCGTGGATCCCGGAGCGTTTCGCTTTATGCCAGCCGCAGCTACTCTTCACCACATCCACACACGGCTGCAGCCTCAACAGGTACACACACACACACACACACACACTCTCTCTCTCTCACACACACACACACACACACACTCTCTCTCTCAGTTCACTTTCCAGTGTGTGATGTAACGTTGTGATGTCCTCTCAAGCTACTGACACTGCAGGTTAATAGCTAATTCGGAGTACTAACTGATCTGCTCTGCTGAAACCTCTTCAACCTGTTTGCTGCAGCAACCGCATAGAAATGTTTCTGTAAAAACAAAGTTACCATAAGAACAGGATCATATGTTATGCTAGTATATGTGGTACAATCTAGCAATTCCATATGTTCTAAATCCATTTAGAATCAAACACATGCACTGACTGGTGATGCTGTACCTTCCACTGGCGGTGAGCAGCGAGGTAACGCTGAAGCCTCATCTGAGACTTTAGCCGAACTTTGTACATCTTGGCCTTGTCCTCCAGGTTATTTAGCCAACTATGCTTCATGCACCCTGATGCACTCATACGGCTGCTACCATAGAGACCACACACACAAACACACACCCACACACACAAACAAACACACATAAACACACAAACACACACACACAAACAAACACACACAAACACACACACACACACACACACAAAACACTTAACAATGTCATTTCAATATCAAAGCATAAGGCATTTAAAGAAAAATTCTTTATGCAGAAGTATATTTTTTAAGAAGTCATCATGCCTCTGAGTAATCGTTATTACTCAGTTAAACTATTTACAGTCTTTAAATATGAGTGAGCTTTTTAACTGTTTTATAAATATGGTTTGTGATGTTTTATTCAGGTTTTATTCACATTGTGAGGGATATGAGCCGACATTAATGCTCATCAGAACTACAGATGGAGAGGTACCAAAACCCTGTGTCTCGCTCTTTTTCTCTCTGTTTCTGTCATTCTGTTTTTTTCTGAGCACTTATTTAGGTGCCATAACAAATATTTTCACATTTGCACTTGCATGCATTCATTTAGCACAAACTCTGAGAAGGAACTCAGTTAGAGGGTTATTTAAATTATTTACATTTAAGAAGCAAAAATTCAGTTTTTCCCAAAATATTTGGAAATGCATGATGAACTAGTTTTGTTTCATCTGTTTGTAACCAGAAATCCAAAAATATGCCAGGCCTAACAGAACCATTCAGGCCAATTTCAGAAGACTAATTAATCCTATAGAATTTTCTAGGGGTATTTACAGTGGTGAATGGCGATTGTAATTATTTTTTGAGTGAAATAAGGTCTGTGGTTATTTTTGCACACTATGTAAGATGGATAGTAAGTGTGCTTGGATGCAGAGAAGTTGTTCAGGATCTCAGTTAGACTGTGATTGACGTGCCTCTCATCCAATCGTATTCCAGGTGTGTGGAGCCTTCCTGTCCACTGATTGGGAGGAGCGGAAGAGGGGCGGGAACAAGCTCAGCTTCTTCGGCACTGGAGAGTGTTTCGTCTTTAGAGTACGTTCTTTTCATGACATTTATTTGTTTATTTGCTAATAATAATATAGGTAAATAATTATGTATGACATAAATAATCAAATTAAGGTATTTGGGGTCTTCCTTATGGAGTATTCCGGAATTATGATGTTAATTATCCACTAGGCGGCACTATTTTCTGGAGTTTTAGACTAGATTGCAGTGCGTTAGTGTGTGGAGTTCCTCATCCATCATAGTTTTATCCTGTCACACTCTCAGAGGAATATTTTATAGCTCTTTGGTAACTCAAGCTATAATGGAGTTCTTAGTTATGTTTATTTCTGTAAAAAAAGATGTTTCTGCTAAAAAGGACACAGATTAATCATAGTTATCTTACTGTGATAGAGCTATTCAGTTATCGTGGATCGCAGCTCAGATGACTTGATTTTGTAAGGAAAAGCAAGTATATTTATATAAATTCAAAGTACTCTTAATTTAAGCTATTAAACTAATGAAAATATAATTATACATAGTACAGTATAAGTGATTAAAAGGTACATATGAATAGAAAATAAATCAAAATAATATAAATATTTATTTACAAATATATTATTTAGAAATATATTTATATATATAAATTCAAAAATATTTATAATAAACATATTAATAATATAAAACATAATATATATATTATAATAATACATAATGAGCATATTTATATAAATAAACATTTACGATACAAATTACATATTTATACAAATAAATGCATACATATATAAATTATATATAAATAATAAATCAATTATTATAAATTGTTATTTATTATAAATTAAATAAATAAATAATCAAACAAAAGTGAGGTAAAAAAATATTTTAAATTCTACTGAAACAAGGATCCAATCAAATCAAGTCTTTGCAAATCAAGTGAGACATTCAAGTGTAATTAGAGTCTTATTCTCAAGAAAAACATCTGAGAAGCTGATGTTCATCCAAAAATTCCATTTTATATTATTTATGTCTAAACAGTTGAGATATTAATGAGATTACATTTAGCATTAGCTGTTTCTTGGTATTAAATTAGTCAGTTGTTTTGCCAACAGCTGTTGAATAGGTTTCTGCTGGTCATTTATGACACATTCTCACATGACTGCTACAAGAAAACTAATCATATAGACTTACACTGCCAGTCTAAGGGCACAATGTTTGAATATTTTAGCTGTCCAAACCACAGTTTAACCACCGCAGCATGTATTCAGATTTCACTTCCTGTGCTCTGACCACAAGACTAACCACTGAAACGGTGTGGGTGTTGTCGTTGTGTGTTTTCAGAAGTAATGTGTGTTCAATGGTGTGTGTTTCATGTCTTGTTTGTTTGTTTCAGATGAAGCCGGAGATGGAGCGGTACGAGTGGGTGGTTATCAAACACCCGGAGCTGGCGAACGCGTCTCAGGCCGCAGATGATGAACAGACCGGAGCGAACAACAACGGTGGGCTGCAGTCTCTGGAGAAACCTGCAACAGACCCGTCTCACCTGTCCCCCTTTCTGTCCGCGCGACACTTCAACCTCAACTCAAGGAACACCTCCATGTTTATGGCGGGAAACATCGACTCCATCATTATCGGTGAGTGAGATGCTCATTTATCACTAATCTGATTTCTTTATTATTATTTTTGTCTTCACTTGAAATCATTTACATTTAGTCATTTAGCAGATGCTTTTATGCAAAGCGACTTACAAATGAGGACAATGGAAGCAATTAAAACCAACAAAAGAGCAATGATATACAAGTGCTATAACACAATAACACTTATTACACATAGCAAGGTTTTTTTTTAAATTATATAATATATGAAAAGAAAAACTAGATAGAATAGAAAAAGAATAGAGCAAGCTTGTGTTAGAGACCGTTTTTTTTATTTTGTTAATTGTATAATAAATAAAAAGAAAACAAATAGATAGAATACAAAAAGATTAGAAAAGCTAGTGATAGTTGTTTTTTGTTTTTTGAAGAAAACAAGCAGTTAGTATGCTAAATGAATAGAGTGCAAGTCTAAAAGGGACAAGTTTTAGAATTGGAATAGAATTAGAATAGAGAGTGCTAGAGTTAGAGGGTCAAATAAAGATGCAAGAGATGTGTTTTTAGCCGATTTTTGAAAAAAGAAAAAACACCATGAATATTTTTACACTGGCTATAAAAGGTGCATTTCAATTTTCATATTCAAATTAGTGAATAATTACAACGTTCAATATAATTCTGTTGCTGATATGAAATTAACCAGCACAATGAATTAATGAACTTTATATTTGACAATCAAGTTTCCTAAAAACACTGTCAGTAGAGTTTCATATGAGGCTGTTAAGATGGAAATATTTTAATTACAAGTCTAATTTAAACTTCATTAGCAATATAAATTATATGGTTACTATTCAACAATTAGTTTGCATTGTTATTCACAAATCTTAAAAGAAATTACCACATGGAACATTTTACATGCAGGTAGGTAAATATCATTTTGTCATTGGAATAAAAAAAATCAAAAATAAATGTTATATTTCCGGGGGAAAAAAAAAAATACATTTTTTATTATTATGATTATCAATATTTAAAACCGTTGAGTACATTGTACATTTTTTTCAGGATTCTTTGATGAATAGAAAGATCCAAAGATCAGCATGGCAACGGTGCTATCTGTCATTATTATGACCCCTGATGGAGCAGTTTTGAAATTGATCAGAAAACTCAACACCAACACACACATACACACACACACACACACACACACACATACACACACACAGGTCATCAACAATTATGAAGTTTCAATCAATATCTTTCTTGACCCCATCACATGGACACATACATATAAATAAAGCATTTCAAACATGCCATCTACGAACGGAATATATTTGTATAAATACATTCAGATATTGAATGAATTATAAGTAGGGATTAAAACGTGCATTTGATTTTATTCTACTCTAAACTACTAGATTGCACAAAAATTTACCAAAGCACTTTCCTAAACATCTGCATTTCACTATGCATGTGGACATTTGGCTAATTTTAATGCGAAGCAGCAAATCAGCATATTAGAATGATTAGAATGATTCATGTGACGCTGAAGACGAGTAATGATGCTGAACATTCAGCTTTGAAATCAATGGAATAAATGGAATAAAAAAATATATTCAAATAGAAATCAGTTATTTTAAATTGTAATAATATTTCATAGT